GTCAACTGCCTTTATTATGTTGAAGTATGTTCCTTGCATTTCTAATACCTCCAGGACTTTTATCATGAAGGAATGTTGGGTTTTGTCATAGGATTTTTCTACATCTAATAATATGATCATGTGGGTTTTTTTTTTTTTAATCTTTCAGTCTGTTTTTATGTTTTATGGTGGGTTACATTTATTGCTTTATGCACATCCCACATTTCTAGGATGAATCCTAGTTGTCTTAGTTTGGGTTATGATTGTTATAATAAAATACCATCACCAAAAGCAATTTGGGGAGAAAAGGTTTTATTTGGCTTATGTTTCTACATCCAAAGTCCATACAATCATACAATCAGGACAGGAACTCAAACAGGATAGGAGCTGATTCAGAGGCCATGGAGAGGTCCTTATTACTGGCTTGCTCTCTATGGTTTGCTCAGCTCACTTTTTTACAGAACGTAGGCCCACTAGTCCAGGGGAGACCCCACCCAACATAGGCGGGACCTCCCCCATCCCCATCAATCATTAAATTAGAAAATGCTTTACAGGCTTGTCTAAGCCCAATCTTATGGAAGCATTTCTCAATTGGGATTCCCTACTCTCAGGTGTCTCTAGCCTGTATCAAATTAAGATGAAAGTAGGCAACCCACTACTAGATCATGGTGAATTACCTTTTTTTTTTTTTTAAGGGTGTTCTTAAGTTTGGTTTGAACATATTTTATTGAGAATTTTTACATCTGTGCTAATAAAAATTGGTCTGTAGTTTTTTTCTTTGTTGTATCTTTATGTGTTGTGAATATCAGGGTAATTGTGGTCTCATAAAGTGTTACACAATGTTCCTTCTATTTCTATTTTATGGAATAATTTGAGGAGTATTGACATTACTTCTTTGAAAATCTGGCAGAATTCTATGCTAAATCTACCTGGCCCTGAGCTTTTTTGGTTGGGAGACTTTTAATTACTGTTTCTGTTTTACTAGGGGATATAGGTATGTTTAAATTACTCATCTGATCTTGATTTAACTTTAGTAGGTAGTATGTACCAAGAAATTTATCCTCAATGGTAAGGTGTGTTTCTTAGCTGTAGCAGAAGGATGGATTCTGTTTTTTAATCCAGCATGTAACTTTTTCCTTAGGGATTTGAGACCACGAATGTTGAGAACTGTGTTTGTTGATTGCACTTTTTTCTGCTTCCCATTATTTTGTTGCTGTGGTGTAGGGATGTTTTTCCTTCTCTTTTGATTGGCTGGTCTGGGGTTAATTTATTCTGTCTGTTTTCTTGGGTGTGAGTAACCTCTTCTGGGGAAGTTTTCTTTCTGGTGCCATATAGAGAGCTGGATTTTTAGATAGATTCTGCTTAAAATTGGCTTTATTGTGAAATGTTTTTCTTTCTCCTTCTATTGTGATTGGAATCTTCGTTCTGTGTGATAGTCTGGCCTGCATCTGTGGTTTCTTCGAGTTTGTAGAGCACCCATCCAGGCCCCATTGGCTTTTAGAGCCTCTGTCTTCGTTTGTTACTTGCCTTTTTCCTTGCAGCTTTCAATATTTTTCTTTGTTCTGTAAATTTAGTGATTTGATAATTATGTGTCATGGGGAATTTCTTTTTTTGGATCAGTCTGTTTGATATTCTGTATCTTTCTTGTACTTTTATAGGCACCTCCTTGTTTAGGCTAGGGAAATCTCCTTCACTGATTTTGCTGAAAATATTTTCTATGCCTTCCTCCATTCATAGTATTTGTAGATTTGCTCTTTTTTATAGTGCCTCAGAGTTCCTTGGTATTTTGTACCCAGGTGTTTTAGACGTAACATTTTCTTTGACTGAGGTAAACATTTCTTTTCTCTGGTCTTCGGTTCTTGAGATTCTCTCTTGCATGTCTTGTAATATCTTGGTGAGGTTTACCTCTGAGTTTTTTGACCCCCTGATTTTTTCCATCTTCAGTTTTACGCGTTTGGCTTTTCTTTAGTGATTCAATGTCTAATTTCACACACTGAACTGTTTTCATCATTTCATTCCACTGTGTATTTGGCTGTAGGTTGCCTGACAGGAAGTGCTTTTGCTCCCCTGCTGTAGCCACTAGGTACTGAGGGCTAACACACAGGAAAGGGACTGGCTAAGAAGTGTGCTCTGACAAGCCCCACAGAAAGGATAAGGTTCCCTAGAGTCCACCGGGAATGGAGCCAGGGAGGAAGGACAGGCCCTTGCAAGTAGTCTCTGTGTACTGTATTTTTTTAACCTTACATTTTTAATGGAACAGAGCATCTGAAAACTCATCCATATTGGGCCAGAGAGCTCCACAGTCCTCACTGAAGGAGCCAGCTTTCCACCGGAAGGTGCCCCGGAGTGACTCATTCCCTCCGGATGTTAGAGAAGCTTCTATCTCGCCGGCTCTGCATTTGCTACCCTCTTTCATACACATATTTCCCTTTTCTAGAGTTCTCACAAAATCTGACAGCCTTCTCACAGATGGGTATGATTTGACTTGAATTACGGTCACAGCGCCTCGATAAATATTTGAGATAGAAGGTAACAGCAGGCATAATTGCTTTCCTTGTGTTTGGACTCAGGACACTCAGGAGGAGAGACAATCCTCTTCAAAACTCAGTCCGGTTACTACAGAATCATCTAGTGGGACAGGCCGTACAAGGGAAGGAGCGTAGCTGATGTTGTAACTGTGCTGTGTCAGAAAAGACGGCTGCGCACAGTTGACATTTGAGCTGAAGCCGTGGTCATGAGGAGCAGAGAACTGGAGATGCAGAAGGAAGGTGGGGGATAGCACAGAGGAAAGGTGCTGCATGTACAAAGGTCCTAAGGTTGAAGGGAACACCATGTATCTGGAGAAAGAGAGGAAACCAGCTTGATTAAGAATCTAGGATGTTGGGTGTATGGCCTAGTACTTCAGGGAGGGTTCATGACTTATAATCGTAAGTCACGCACAGTGTTAGCTGTGGGCAGTGTCTGAGGGAGGATGAGGGAGGATGGGACCTGGAGAAGGTCTACGATCAGCCTTGGGCACCTCCTTGTGGTCAATGAGTAAGGAAAGGGGGAGGAGGAAGCAAGAGGCCTTCAAAATACAAACCCAAGTTGGAAAGATGCCAGGTATCTCATAAGCTGAGGAAGAGGAAGGTTCAGACCAAGCATCCACGGATTGATGGTGGCGTATACCCACAGTTCATCATTCCCCCAGTCCCTCTCCTCACACACTGCTTCATCAAGACCTCCAGGCCTCTCCCCCAAATGGGAGTCAGTTGTTTGAAGGACATCTTTTAGCTGTCTTTCTTGATGTCTTTCTAAACCAAGAAGTTAGGCTGAACTCTTTGTCTTCCCATACATGGGTGTGGAACAACTCACACTGGGAAGTATAGCAGATTCCAGCACTGGGAATGGTTACCTAGTGTGCTCTATGCTGGTACTGTGGAAACCACACTTAACTTGGGAAGAAAACATCCATGTTGAGCTGAAGGCACAAAGGAGCTGTAATTATAGATGAAGTCCTATAGTTCTCATGCCCGGATCTACACACTGGCTGCCTCTCCTGTAAGATTCTTCAGTTTTATTTTTAGGACCAAGATTAAATCAGAAATCTGTACTTGTATTATTGTATATTTCTTAAAATACCTTATAGAATTTAGATTTTTACCTTTTTATAGACTTACTGTCTAAAATTAGTTTTTCCTCTTCAATATTCCTCATAAGATTAACTTGGTTTGTTTCCAGCATCTATTTTCATGGCACTAGAGTCTGAAGGAATTGGCACAGGGTAGCCGTTCCCTTAAAGAGAATAATCAGGGCTGAGGTTGAGCTCAGTGGTAGCGTGCTTACCTAGACAGGCAGGAAGCCCTGGGTTTAATCCCAGCACTGGAGAAAGGAAGGAAGGAAAGCAAAAAAGAAAATGAGGCATTAAAAGAGGGAGGAAGGGATGGGGGTGGTAATTCAGGTTAGTCCAGCAGAAGAAAAGCCCCTCCTTATAGTCTGAAAATTCCTAGGTAATTGTCTGGTGAGCTGTTGTATGCAGTCACCTGTTTTGTGCATGCCTGTGTCCTGGTGCTGGGATCAAAATACTGTAACAAAAGTAACTTGGGAGGGAGTGCTTATTTCCCTTCCTTGTCCAGATCACAGCCAATCGTGAGAGGAAGTCAGGGAAAGAACCCAGAGGCAGGAACCATAGCACAGGTCATGGAGGAGTGCTGCTCACTGGCTTGCTCTCCATGGCAGCCTGCTTTCTTATACACCCAGGACCAGCAGCCCAAGAATCAAGATAGACTCGCTTCTGTCTTCTGTCTTCAATCTCAATTAAGATTCCTCCTTCCAGGTGACCCTGCTTTGTGAGTTGTCAAAAATTTACCCAGTAGGCCCACGTGTGTGCGTGTGTGTGTGTGTGTGCGTGTGTGTGTGTGTGTGTGTGTGCACGTGCACACGTGTGTGTAGCAGCAGGGATTGGGAGTTGGGGAGGACAGAGAGAAACAGAGACAGAAAGAGACACAGACATAGAGATTCCTTCACTCACAGAATCCAGTGTCTTTGTACATAGCTGTAACATTTCAGAAAATGACAGTCCCCAATGCCAGCCAGTTCTTTCCTAGCTTTGTCAGATGCCATCACCATTTAAATTCATGGAGCTTGTTGTATCATCCTGTAGTCAGGTACTCATGAGCAGAATTTCATCTCTAAAATAATCAAAAGCATTTTACCTGCATCTACTCTCCCAAGAAAGCCATAGCATGAACGCCAGCAACAATTATGAAGCTAAATTGGCATTATAAGAGCAAAAGAAATCAATTTTGCTGGTTTGCATTCAGTGACTAATTTACATATAAATGAGCTGACTTCTGACTTCGCCTAGTCTGAAGAATGTGTCTGTACTCTGGGTTTTTTTGTTGTTGTTGTTGTTGTGGTTGTTGTTTTGGTTTTGTTGTTCTCTATCTATGGTCCTGAGGATGAACCTGGCTGGGAATAAGTGAAGGTGTTGCTTTGCAGTTTCCTAATTATAACCATCTTATTTTTTTTTCTTTTGGCAGTGTATCAGCTGCAGCAGGAGGCGCCTCGTCCCAAGAGGATCATTTGTCCCCGGGAGGTCGGTACTCAGCTCTTCCCAGTACACCTTGTTAAATGTGATGAATTGGCAGCACCGTGCCCATGATGCTGGAGGGACTTCGGGTTTCCTGGGGGGCGATTTCTATTAACGTTTGGCACAGTGTCACCAAATTGAATATCTTCATAACTATATCTTGAAATCGGATGTTATCTCAATACCTGGTTTTACAGAGAACCAGATGTCTCACATTTTTAGCAAATGCAGAGAGGAACTAAATTCTTTGTAAGGATCACAAAATGTGTAATATGATTGTTTTGTGTTACCTTTGCTCTGACTCTTAAGGTTTCTTTATTAGCATATATTAATGATACAGTTATGAGCTTCTGGTGACATTTTATACATGTAAGTACTGTATTCACTCCCATATCTCATCCTGTCCCTATCCCACTGATCTCCTTCTTCTTCCCAACTAGTCTGTGCGTGCATGTTCACACATGCACGTGTGTAAGTGCACATAAGTGTGCATGCATGTGTGTGTGTCCCGGTGAGTTTCATTAGGGTTGGTTACAGAAGCATGGGCCTCATATAGAAAGCTACAATATACTGCTGAAGAAGATGGTTCTAGCTCTCCTAGCGACCATTAGCTGCCCATGAATCCTCAGAGAAGGGTGGGACCTCTTGAGAGCCTTCTTCTCATGTGACAGAGGATTGACAGGCCTGATCTGATGCAGACCCTTGAGATCTGGTGCAGGAAATCACAGATGCCATTAGACCAGGAGTCCAGCAGTCATATCACACCCAGAAGATGGTTCACAACCCTCCACCCCTTGTTCCTGCTCTTATCTTCTTCCCAACCTCTCTTCCTCAATGTTACCTGAGCTTTGGCAGAAATGATACAGATGTCCTGTTTATGGCTTTAGTTTAACATTCTGACCTGTTAGGAACCTCTGCAGTTAATGCTCCCCCTACTTAAAATAAATAAATAAAAGCCTCTCTAGCCAAAGATGAGAACAGCAGTAATCCTTGGGTATACACTGTTATTTAGAAGGCAGTTTTATAGTTACAATGTGTACATTTAGCAAAGCAAAAGCTGTGGCTTCCCTTCTAGGGCTTCTGACCTCTCTATCTGTGACATGTGACCAGATGTGAAAGGTCAAGTTTTGGCTTTTTTAGTATACAGTTATGAATTGTTTTCAGAAAACACAGTACAAAACTGATAAAAAAAAAATACCTGGGTATTTCCAATATCTGCAGATAGCAAATCATTATAGTTTTGTCATATTTACTTTAATTTTTTTTAAATAACGAAGCTATTTGTGAAAAGGAAATATGTTTCAATCCTGGAAATCACTTTCAGAATATATTCACTCATAAAAATCCCACCAAGCTCACAAGAAGTTTCCAGTGCCTTCCTTCATGAATCCGTTTGTCCATTACTTGGGGTACCAGGAAGATTTGAAGAGTAAGATCAAGGTCCTATCTTCTGTTTTTATCCTGACCAGTTTGAATATAGCTCACCTAATACCCTTCAAACCAAAGGCTCATGGGTCCTCGCTTGTTTTTGCTGTTGCTTTACTTAAATATAGAGTGACAGCATGCTTCTAAACCTCTCTGTGGGCCCTAGCAAGGCAGGGAGCCCCCCCTCCCATCCCAGCACTCTTCAGATGTGTCAAGGAACATCAGTGATGTCTCTGTGGGTTTACAAAGACTTCAGTACTTGCATCTCTGTATCTCAGCTACCTTATCCCTTTACCACAGTTACCTTATCACAAGTTAACTGGTTTCTACGTACAATTTTACTTCCATGGAAAGGGAGGACATTCATCAAGTAATCTTGATTTTAGAAGAAAGTACACTAGACTTGCTCATCATCCTAGGAATGTCACTTGAGAGACGATCTGATGATTGTGAAAAAAACCCAAGATGCCTTACAGTTTACTTGGTAGCCTGATCTTGTCACCAACTCCTCAGTGTGTCACCCTTTGGATAGTCAGTAACGCTCACATAAGAAAAAGGATAATTTGCTTTAAGTGAAATAAGAATTATGAAGTAGGCTAATGCACCAACTGCTACTTTTCATCTGGTGTTTCTTCAAGAAGGAATTGTGTAAGGGTGTAGTTTTGGGATGTCTGGGGGGGGGAAATACAATTAGAGCAGGACTGGGGAGATGGCCCATTGATATTGTTTGCCTTGTAAGTGTGCAGACTGTGTTCAGTCCTCAGAACACAAGTAAAAGAAGCCAGGCATGGGGGGGCATGTGCTCATAACCCCAGCATTGTGGACATAGAAACAGGCAAATGCCCAGTACCCCCTCACCAGCCAGACAACATAGCTTACTTGGCAAGTTCCAGACCCTTGAGAGACCTTCTCCCAAAGAAAGGTAGATGGATCATTAATAACAGCACTGAAATGCAATTGCTCCCTGGACTACACATACTTATCTATGTATGTGCAATACATGCATGTAGCAATACACAGAAGCAAACAAACACTCATACATTCTTGTGTACAGTCAAATAAAAGTAAAATTTGGAATGCATCTAAGAATTTAAGTATAATTAAGAACTGCACTGGAGGCAGTAACGAGCTCCCTAGCCAAGTTGAGTACCACCAACACCAGTGCTTGAAACCAGAAAGGACAGTGAGTGGCCATCGTTCACTGTCAGGTGTGCATGGAGCATGGTTAGTCCAGGTGTGTGAACTATGGCAAAGAACTTGGCTATTGGCATTCTGAGGAGTATGTTAATAAAGCAGAACAAAATAATGGTGTGTGTGTGTGTGTGTGTGTGTGTGTATGTGTGTGTGTGTGTCTTTAACTCAGAGAGAGAGGGGAAAAGAGAGAGAGGGGAAAAGAGAGGGGGAGGGAGGGAGAATGAGAATCTCTTGTCTCAGAATCCTGGCAGCTGTGACAGCTTTCCTTTGAGTAAAGGCAATGGGTATATTCTCATGTCACAGAAACTCTTCCTGGATGTCACGTGATGCTCTTCAGCCATCTAGGGTGTTGAGGATCTGCCATGCGGTCCTCACCACTAGCCGCATCCAAGGATACAGTGCACGTGTGGTTTTAAGGCTTCCCTGAATTTTAAGCTGTGGTTTTCATCTCTCCACCTTGACTAATTTGGCTCAAGTACATAGATGATTGTTGGCTGATGTTTGCTCCACAAGTAGCTGGCCACTAGAAGTTCCATATCTCATGGAAGCATGAAACCTAGTGTGGAGTAGTGAGCGCCCATCAGCCCCATTCCCCAGCAGGCTGCCTGGGGCCAGCCAGTGAGGCAGGTGTCAGGTGGTAACGGGTGGACTTTTCTGGGAGAACAGGTGCAGTAGGTAACAGTAGGCCCCGCTTTCTCCTCCGGCGTTACGTTAACTGTGAGTATTTTCTGTCTAAATCCTAGGCCTCTCAAGATCTAGCATCTTAGGAGTGGAGGCCAAACTAAAGACATTGTTTAGATAAACATCACTTTGCCTTGTGATACACCTGCCTTCTTGGCGGAGCTACCTAATGAAGATAGAATTATTGTCTCAGTGATGGGGGCGGGGGCGAGTGCAGTTCTTGTAACGTGTTCACTAACTAATAAGGATTGTATCTGAGCAGTGAATACTGACTTCTGATGTACATGTTTTCCTGGTTCAACTCCCTACACAGCTCTGTTCCCTCCTTCTTCACCTTCACCCTATCTCCTGCCAGCCCTTCTGCCTGGTCCCTGCCTGACTGTCTCCACATCCTTATGGTCTCTTGTCTTCGCTCTCATTGTTTACACCGTCCCTGGCTATGCCTCTCTCAGAATAGGGGTCTCCGGTTCACTAGTTCCATACCCACCCACATGAATGCAAAATGAAGTCCAAAGTGCCAGAGATAGGAGACACTGGGACTCCGGGATAAACATCGGGTCAGCCTGACTTGATAACCAGTTGCAAGCCACAGTAGCACTTGCCTGATGGGTTCCACTGAGCTGCTAGGTAAAAGCAGTGCAGGCTGACTCCACAAGCAAGAGCTGAAGAGCGAGTCAAGCCGGGGATGGAGAAGCTCAGTTACAGGGTCAGCCTGGACTTCTGACTTCTTGCTCTCTCTGCCGATCACTTGCCATCAGTCTCAGAGCCAAGCACTTACTCTTATGGAGTGACAGAAGCCAAACCCAAGGTTAGAGAAGAGATCTGCTTCACAGAGTGGCTACAAATGTGACAAACATCTAGTGTGGCTCCTGACACGTACTGGGTTAACGTGCAAGCGCCAAGGCAGATTCGCCATGGAGAGCAGGCTTCGAGACCGTCACTGCAAACAGTTGGGGTGATGACAATAGCCCCTGAATGTGAGAGCAGGGTGGCAGTGATAAGGAAGAGAGCAAGATGCCCAGGATGAAGATTCTGAGGATGAGAGACAGAAGTTACCAGCAGCCAATTATGCCAGGCAGACTCCGCCATGGAAATAATGGTCCCTTGCTTTCTCAAGATTCATCACTGTAAATTAATACTCAGAGAGCCGCCACAGCACCTGGCATTCTTTTCCCGAACACTCCTTGCCAAGAGACTCAAAACATTGTCTAGGAAACAAAAGTCTCACTTGCCCTTTCCATGAATTATCAATCAGTCACTTCATAAACATGTATTAATTACTGAGTGTATGTGCAGTATGGCAGCAACTGCGCAGAACATTTTCTCCAAAATTTGTTTAAGTGAGACCTCTCCCTGGAGCTTCTGAGACCTTTACCGCCTGTCTGCTTGACTTCTGCAGGTGTGTGATGCCTAGGCCATTGAAAGCCTAATATTCAGGAAAGACCAGGCCTGACTTATTCAGTAACATATCTCCAGAAATCCTGGCTTCCCGATCCCCACCCTTACCCTATCTCCTCCATTGTTAGCAGGTGCCAGCCTTATTCCCACATAGCTCTCCAATGGGTCCCAGACCATCCATGAACCCCGTGAGAGCAAGAACCTCCCAGATATCAGATATTCCCTGTCTTGTCACCCTATTTCTCTGTCTCTAGTGCAGTGAGCCCTTCATGTCCACAAAGGATACATTTCAAGACATCTGGTAGATG